TTTTTTTTTTTTTTTTTTTTTTTTTTTTTTTTTTTTTGTACCGGGGATTGAAATCGGGTCGTTGGCGCTTGCAAGGCAGGCCACCGAACCCCTGAGCTAAATCCCCGGCTCGTGAACCTCAAATTTTTTGAAAAAAAATTTTTTTTGGTCGGTAGATACTTTGATTTAAAGCATCTTCCATTATAACTGTAAGAAATGACAGAATAATAGATGTTTGTTCTCTTTGACAACCCCTTAGATGAGAATCTGGATTGTGGGGAAATCCATGCTTAGGCTCCAAACCACTGTAAAGCCACCTCTAAACTACTATAAACCACTAAAGTTTCAGGTGTATGAATTGCACTAAGCAGGTTTTTGCCCCCTAAAACTTTTGTGTTAGGTGTAAAATCTGCAAAAACTTTTTTCTTTTTTCAAAACCACTAGCAGGCACAGTATTTGATTAGTGATTTTTTAAAACTTGTTTCCTTTTACACACTGGTTGGTTAGTGCATTTTAAAGCATATGATGGAGTGAGTGGGAAGGGGGATGGGATTGAAATAAAAGAAGAAACAAGCTGTAGTATATACATGTACCCTTTCACCAAAATGATTATAAACTGCATGTACTGCAAATGTGTACTAATAAAGTTTTAAATAAAACAATTTTATAGCAAAATTAAAGCTTTGTATTATGTAAACTGAAAATAGATAATCTTAAAATCTTGTCAAAAGAAAATTTAAGAATTTTGCCAGAATATTATTATAACTTGGTATTTTAAAATTATTGATAATCAAGGGATGGTAAAACTCTAAGTGTGGAGTAATATGTATACAGTATAAATTTTGCATGTTCTTTTGACATGTGTACATATACATACAGTTCTTTTACATGTTTCTGAATTATTAGGACTTGGCATAATCCAGATACACACAATTTATCTGCAGAACAGTTTATCTCACTATGTTCTGCTTTGTCAAGTCTGAAGATGTATTATTTCTGAATAATGTTTTTGGGTCCTGCTTTATTATGAACAGGTATGCGTGCAATAGAAATGTCCAAATAGGGTGAAATTTCGATTAAAAAGTTGGATTGAAGTTTATTTTTCCTTGACATTTCATTATACAGTTTCTAAACATCTAGAAAAGGTGAAAATGCTTTACATTGAATTAGCATGTAACTACCACCTAGATATATATTTAGTACTAGGGATTGAATCCAAGTCTTTTGCACACAGTTACATTCCAGCCCCCCCCCCTTTAAATTTTGAGAGCATCTAAATTGCCCGGGATGGGCTTAAATTTGTGATTCTCTTGCCTCAGTATCCCAGAGTGTTGGGATTACATGTGTGTATCACCACACTGGGCTTCTTTGGTTTTAGTTTCTGAAGTGAGTGCAAAATACCCCAAACTGCAAAGTCTTAGTAGATACATATAAGTGAACAAATGCAGAAACAAATGGTTTATGTTCACTTCCTCATAACATGAAGTTTTTTTGTTTTATTTTTGGAGACAGGTTCTTCCTATGTAGTCCAGGCTGATCTTGAACTCACTGTGTGGCCGTGCTCACCTTGCGCTCACAGTTCTCCTGCTTTATCCTCCCAAGTACTAGGATTACATGCCCTACTAGAAAGGCATCCTTCAATTTTGCTGTTTGTTTGTTTTTGTTTTTTTTTGGTACCGGGGATCAAACTCAGGTCCTTGTGCTTGCAAGGCAGCCAGCCCCAAGAATTTTACTGTTTTTTCTAGTTTTCTGCAAACCAATGAGAAAGAACCTGTTATTTTCTTAACATTTGTCAAATATCATTAATATCAGTTATTTTTCTTACTCACCTCATTATTAACTTCATATTAAAGTCTTATAGCCGAGGATTTATCTCAGCAGTTCGGTGGCCTGCCTTGCAAGCGCAAGGACCCGAGTTCAATCCCCGGTACCAAAAAAAAAAAGTCTTAGAATAGTAGCCATCTGTAAAATCTTTTTTTTTTTTCTTTTGTACCAGGGATTGAACGCGTGACCGTGCTCTTGCAAGGCAGGGGCCAGCACCACTGAGCTAAATCCCAGACCTATAGAATCTTTACTCATTTACAGGATAACTATTCTTATCGACAGTGAATAAATTTGTCATGGTAGTATGAAATATAAATTATCACAGTTAAGTTCTGTTCCCCCAAATCATTAGTTATTAAAAAGCTAGATTTGAGGGGTTTTGTTGTATGTATGTATTTATTTCTGTAGTGTTACCAGTTGAAACCAAGGGTACTCTACCACTGAGTTATATCCCCAGCCTTTTTTTAATTATAATTTTTTAATTTTTTGGTACCAGGGATTGAACTTGGGACCTTGCCCTTCGAAGCAGGCACAGAACCACCGAGCTAAATCCCTGGCCCCTATTTTTAATTTTTAGACAGTTTTGCTTAGTTGCCCAGGCAGACCTGGAACTAGCGATCCACCTACCTTGCCTGCTGAGTAGCATTGGTTATAAGTGTGTGTCTCCACACCCAGCCAGATTGGAGTTTTTGTTTTGTTTTGTTTTGTTTTGAGAAGGTCTCCCTTGTATTTGTAGTTCAGACTGGCCTTGAACTCATGGTGATCCTCCTGCCTCAGCCTCCTGAATGCTGGGATTATAGTTGTGTACCACTATGCCTGACCAGATTGGGGTTTTTCTGATTAGTCTACACATGATGGAGGAGAAACTCAGATCTTACATGGTAATCACAGGTCCCATGAGAGGGTTTATACAATACAACAGCTGCACAGATATTTTATTCTTCGTATATCTTTTTTAGTGTATACTAAAGAATAAAAACTATTTTTCACTGATTTATCATCTACTTATGTCTTTACTAGTGATTTATTTTTTGGTTTTGTTTTCTTTTAAAGTTCTCTTCAAACTTTTGTTTTATTTATTTCTTTGGTACCAGGGATTGAACTCAGGACCTTGCACTTGCGAGGCAGGTGGCGGAACCACTGAGCTAAATCCTTGGCCCAAGCTTTTGTTTTAGAATGGAAAAGTGATGAACTTAAAATTCTGAGTAAATTAATTTGCAAGCTTCAGCTCTTAAATGTGTACAAGATTTTTTGTAATCTTGTCTCTGATTTTATCTGGAATTCAAGAAAATGGGAAAGACAAAATAGTCCTTGATGACAGTTATAGAATGTAGCTTTAATATGACCATAAATTAAGTATAATATGTATATGTCTGTATACAATATTACAGTGAATTATAAAGAAGAAGGTGACTATAATTCTGGAATCCTGAAGTATTGAGGTTTAAAGAAGACTGACTTTTTTAGAGAATTGTGCATCTTTATGCTGCATTACCACCTGTTACTCTTTTTTTTTGTACCAGGGCTTGAACTCTGGTCCTTGAATTTTTTTTTTCTTTTTTCTTTTGCATGATTTCTTTTGGTTAAGCAATTTACCTTTAAGCAGCCCCATAGTAATACAGAATGTGATTCTCAAGTAATGACTAGTGGAACAATCAGTATAAAATGAAAATATTGGGCTAGGGATTTAGCTCAGTGGTGCTGTACCTGCCTCATAAGCACAAGTCCTGAGTTTGATCCCCATACCAA